CCCGGACCCCGCCCCCTCAGCCCTGTGGAGGAAGGGGAGTTGCTGAGGGGCCCTGCTGCTCTCCAGTCCACCCCAAAGTCTAGGGTCCTCTCTTCAGTCTGACCCTGAGCCCCCTTTTCTTCTTGAGTCCCTGATTAAAAGTCAAGCGACCCAGGCCCTCCTCCTCTGCGCATCTGACTAAAGCCCTCTCTTTGCCCTAACACCCATCCCCTTCTCTCTCCAAGGTACTAACCTCACTCTTCTCTCTGCGTGTTTGATAAAGGCCACAGTCATCTCCAGGGGCCCGCTCCGTCCTCTTCCTTCTCTAAGATCTTGCCTGCACCCCTTCGGCTCCTCAAGGTTTTCTTCAAAATCCACACCAATGCGTGCAGGACTCGAGTCCTCCCCATCTTGAAATGACCCATGTGCCCCCCACCCCTGGACTTCTGGCTAAAGCCTCATCACCTTTCTGGCCCTAGCTCCACCATCTCCCATCTCCCCCCACGTTCAGGCCCCTGACCCTCCCTTTCTCTCCAGAGCCTTAAACTCCAACCCTCCTTGCCTCTGTCCTTTTCTCTTTTTGCACACTTGACCCTTCACTTCTTCCCCCATTTATGGCCCTAACACCCCTCGGTGGTTCCATCCCTTCGCTGTCCTCTCTGGACACCCAGCTTTCTCCCTTCTCTGGGTCCTGGGCATTGTGACCAAGGTCCTTAAACCCTGGCTTCTCTCTGAGGCATCGACCTTGCCCCCCACTAACTGATGCCTCCATACCCTAGCAGGAGCTCAGCTTTTCTTACTGAGTTCCAGGTACTGGGCCAAGCACTGTTTCTGGAGCCAGGACTTTTGTATACTCATCTAATGTAATCCTCAATAATCCTGTGAAAAACCTGAGGTGCAGAAAGCTTAATCTCCTTGCCCAAATTAGGCCATGGAAACGCTGGCTCCAAATGCAGGCTTTCATAACTTTCATAACTGTTTTGGGATTCTGCCTCCCTGCCCGCTTTCTCCACTTCCCCTTCCCTTGGCTCCAAGCTGAGCTCCAAAGCCTCTGATACCCCGAGGGTGAGTGATCTTAGTCTCCCCGCCACTCCCCTCCCATCGCAGAATCCTTGGACCCTGCTGGGGAGTCCTGAGATGGGACACCGGGTGTGGGGAAGTGGTCTGGGAGACAGAGTAAAGGACCAGAAATGGCCGTTTCCGTGAGAACAGCTGGTTGCCCGTCTGCCACCACTGCTGGGGCCAGCTCCTATCCCAAGCCGGGGAGAGCTGCCTCTGATCCTTTTCCAGCTTTACAGGGAAGAGCAGGACACAGGCTGTGACAGAGGCGTGGGGTGGGGACTCCTGGATTTCCCCGGAGGTGGGGGCTGGGGAGGGGCGGCCACTGGGAGGGTCTCCTAGAGGTGGCTGGCTGACCAGATGCCTGGGTCACCTTTTGCCCTCTCTCTCCTGCCCTGCCTCGCAGTATGTGGCCTTCGCCTCCCTCTTCTTCATTCTCATCTCCATAACCACCTTCTGCCTGGAGACCCACGAAGGCTTCATCCACATCAGCAACAAGACGGTGACGCAGGCCTCCCCCATCCCGGGGGCTCCACCGGAGAACATCACCAACGTGGAGGTGGAGACGGAGCCCTTCCTGACGTACGTGGAGGGCGTGTGCGTGGTCTGGTTCACCTTCGAGTTCCTCATGCGCATCACCTTCTGCCCGGACAAGGTGGAATTCCTCAAGAGCAGCCTCAACATCATCGACTGCGTGGCCATCTTGCCCTTCTATCTCGAGGTGGGCCTCTCGGGCCTCAGCTCCAAGGCTGCCAAAGACGTGCTGGGCTTCCTGCGGGTCGTCCGCTTCGTCCGAATCCTGCGCATCTTCAAGCTCACGCGCCATTTTGTGGGGCTGCGCGTGCTGGGCCACACGCTCCGCGCCAGCACCAACGAGTTCCTGCTGCTCATCATCTTCCTGGCGCTGGGCGTGCTCATCTTCGCCACCATGATCTACTACGCGGAGCGCATCGGCGCCGACCCCGACGACATCCTGGGCTCCAACCACACCTACTTCAAGAACATCCCCATCGGCTTCTGGTGGGCCGTGGTCACCATGACGACCCTGGGCTACGGAGACATGTATCCCAAGACGTGGTCGGGGATGCTGGTCGGGGCACTGTGTGCCCTGGCGGGGGTGCTCACCATCGCCATGCCCGTGCCCGTCATCGTCAACAACTTTGGCATGTACTATTCGCTGGCCATGGCCAAACAGAAGCTGCCCAAGAAGAAGAACAAACACATCCCCCGGCCCCCGCAGCCCGGCTCCCCCAACTACTGCAAGCCCGACCCCCCTCCCCCGCCGCCCCCGCACCACCCCCACCACGGCAGCGGCGGTATCAGTCCTCCGCCACCCATCACCCCGCCCTCCGTGGGGGTGACTGTGGCCGGGGCCTACCCAGCGGGCCCCCACACTCACCCCGGGCTGCTCAGGGGAGGCGCGGGGGGGCTCGGGATCATGGGGCTGCCTCCTCTGCCGGCCCCCGGGGAGCCTTGCCCGTTGGCTCAGGAGGAAGTAATTGAGATCAACCGCGCAGGTGAGCAGGGGTGCATGAGGGGCAGACGGGGGTGGGGGGAGGAGGCCACTGCTTCGGTTAAGAGACGGGCGGTCACTACAGAGGGGAGAGAGAAAAGCGAACAGCTACTGCTGAGGTCAACAAAGAGGCACGGAAACAGACGGATTCCGTGTGAAAGAGACAGTCTGGGGGAGAGCCAGACTCGCGGCCAGGACATTCGGGGGGACCAGGGAGGCAGAGAGATCGGCCTACCGGGAGGGAGGACTCGGGCACAGGCACAGAGACGGTCTAACATGTGAATCACCAGCCGACCGGAGAACGGCATCTGAGTCTTCCGGTGGTGATGCGGAGAAAAGAGCCCGAAAGCGACAGAAAGCAAGCAGTTGTCCCCGAGAGCAGGAGAGACAGAGAGAGAGAGGACAGAGGCGGAGGGCCAGTGGTAGAGAGCTCAGGTTCTAATGACAGCGAGGCCAAGAGAGGAGACAAGACTCAAAGACCAAGAAGTAGGTAGAGGCCAGGAAGACAGGCCCAGAGGGCGGGCCGGCCGTGTGACAGTGACTCGGGACCCAGGGCCCTTGGCTCCGGCTCAGTCCGACGAGAGACGCACAAGAGAGGCCAAATGAAGAGGTGAAGGGAAGGAGATGAGGGAGAAGAAAGTTGACCCGGTATGTCCCTCCCCCTAGGGGAGTCTGTGTCGCTGAAGGTTGGGGGCCAAGGTCCTGTGGTCCTGAGCAGGGAGAAGCCGGTGGGCCCCACCCCCATGACTTAAGTAGGTCAAGAAAGGGAGCTGGGCCGCCCGGCCCTCATCTGGCTCCCTCGGCCGCTGACCCAGTTTCACACCAATTAAAAATAGCTCAAGTCAGAGCCTGGGGGACCCCCACCTCCCGCCCTCCCTCCTCTGTCACCTTCCCAACCCTTCCCCGCTGTGCCCTTCCCAGCACCCAACACCCTCCCTAAACAGCTACCTCCCAGCCCCCTGAGGCCCCCCAGCCGTCCCTCCAAACCTACCCCAACCCATCTACCCGACCAACCCAACACCGCACCCCAGTCCCGCCCTACTCGGTTCACTTCAGCCGACCGCCCACCCGGCACTCTACCCCAGCCTCCTTCCAGGCACCCAGCTCGCTTCCCAACCACCCTCCAGATGCCCAGCACCCCACCCACTCCTGCCCTTCCCAGCACCCAACACCTGGCCCGAGCAACACCTCCCGCCACACGGCACCCTCCATCCACACCAACTCCTGACCGCCCTTCCGCATCCCTGCTGTCCTTCCCGGCACTCAACACCTCCCCCCACCCAGTGACCTGTCCCCTAAACCTACCAGCCACACACGCCAGCACCCAGCTTCCAGCCTGCCCCTCCTGTCCCTTC